GAGAAGGAACGGGGTGGTTTTTAGTCAGTAAGAGTCTGACACTCCCTCCCGCCTCAGACAGGCGGGAGCAGTCATTCGATGATTTTCCCCCCTTAAAAAAAATATATATATGTTGTTATTACATGTTACGTATGTCTTCAGCGCAAAGGTCGCGCAGGCCGCGTCCGGCCGGGCGTGTGCTTCACGTTGTGTTCCCGCGCGCGGTTCGAGCGACTCGAGGAACATCAAACTGCAGAGATGTTCCGCACTCCACTGCATGAACTCGCACTCAGGTATGTATTGAATATTTATAAATATTTTGAATGATATCACAATCGCGTCATCATCAGTCTTTACCATTTTCATCATCAGTTTTTAAATGCTGACATATACATAAAAATGTCACATCAACAGCCAATAAGTGCCCACTTCTGACCAAAGGCCTTTTCTTACGCGTATAAAGTTTGAGCATTAATAACCACGCTTGCTCAATGCGGGTTTGTGATTTCAAACTTTTCATTCGCCGTTTGTCAATGGTGTATAAATAACCTTAGAATATAGTCACATTGGAACTTGCTGTTGGTAGGTTTCGCACCAGCTTATGCATGAGAAGCGGGCTTTCTTAGACCTCCGAGCCATCACGGCTGAATCCATAAAAACAAACTTAAATGCAAATACGATAGATAAGATCATGATACTACTATCAGTATCACATGGCCTGTTTTTCTTTATGCCCAGTACAAAATAATTAAATTTAACTCGTCGAGTACCGTCATTATAGACACAATTATATAACAGTAGGTCGCGGTCACCGGTGACCGCTTGGTGTTTGACAGTTTAAAATATTATATGATGATGAAATCAAGTTACGATAAAAGTTATCATAATAAAACATTTCAAAACTCAGAAACAATTTATCTACTTTCTACACTCGTCACAAAAAATCAACCTATTTTTCAATGCCATTAACCATTTTCTCTTTTCCCCAGCATCAAACTCCTCCGCCTAGGTTCCATCGGTCACTTCCTGTCGAAGGCTCCAGAGCCTCCACCACTGGACGCGGTCATTGAGGCGGAAGCACTGCTCCGCGAGCTCGGCTGCCTCGATGGGGAAGACAACCTCACACCACTTGGAACTATACTCGCTAAGCTGCCTATAGGTACGTCTAGATATCTATTTGTCCTAATTAAAATTTACTTCATGATATAGTTTGTTTTAGTGGTGCAAGTAATTTTATGCACAAAACTTGACGTTAGCGAGCCATGAAGGTCACTCTGTACGTAGATCAACATCTGTCTTCTTGAAAACAACTGAAATGCTCAACTGTATACCTACATGCCTTTGACAAACTTTTTGAGACTATGAAACGTATGTTTTATCTTTCGATCCTCCTGTAAAACTAATTATTTGATTAGTTACTTTGACTACTTACTCCTTTTTATTCTTATAGGTACACTCCACTTAGATTAGACTTAAATTAAAACTACTATAAACATTATTTAATATCCATAACTTATTTCCAGAGCCCCGTCTCGGCAAGATGATGGTGCTGGGTTTCGTACTCGGAGTGGGTGACGCGCTCACCACTATGGCGGCCAACTCCACCACGTTCCCTGAGATATTCGTCGTCGAGGGTCGGAGGAGACTGTCCAACCATCAACGGGCGCTGGCGGGAGATAGGGCTTCCGATCATGTTGCTATGCTTAATGCTTTCCAGGTAAGTGTCCATTAGTTAGACTTTGGAAGGATACCTGAAATTCTCATTAATTAATGAAGGCTAGAAGTCCACCTATGTAAGGTTTCGGTTGACTTAAAACTTGATGACATAACTTAAAAAAAACACACAGTCGAATTGAGAACATCCACCTCTTTTGAAGTTGGTTGTAAAGTGTACCCCATATTTGTAGATGTGGGAGAGAGAGCACGCGAAGGGTGAGGAGGCCGAGCTAAAATGGTGCGAGTGGAAGGGACTGCAGCAGACTACCATGAGGGTCACTTCTGAAGCCAAATACCAGCTTACTAGTAAGTACATAGTCGTACTTTCACATATACTAATCAGAGGCATTATTAATCGTGACGTGTACGCGTTCATCGCTCTGATTGGCCAGCTACAATGAACCAACCAATCACAGCGCTGAACGCGGTCTCGTTTCGACTACTTTTAACGTAAAATAAATTTGTACTAAGTATGAATAGTTTTTGTTTGCATGATAATAAGTTTAGCTTGTTGGATTATACTCATAAAATAACATTGAAACCTTTAAGTATCTCGTTGTTTATATTATTTTTATTACTACTGTAAGGTTCTGAGGGAATTATAAAAATCTTTTCTTTTAAACATTGCCCCACACTAGGAAATTCTCTTGTGTCGTGGGTTCAAATAAAATCACAGTGAATGGCGAACTTTTAGCCTTAAGGCATTTTCTGACAGTCAACCATACAACCATAGGGAAGTGTATAGAAATGAAGCGGTTGATGCGAAGCCAGAACACAATTTTAAAAACATAAAGATTATTAAAGTAGTAAGTAGTAGTAGTTAATCAATTACATTCTTGTTGACTCGGTAAATACAACAGAATCAAACAACATCCATAAAAAACACGCCACTAGTTATTTTCTATACCTTGCTTATATGCTTATAATAAATTATTGTTTCCTTTCAGACATCCTGACCACGACAGTAGGTTTCCCCGAGGAGTGCTGCATCCCCCAGCGCTGGGACCCCACGGGGTCGGACCCCACGCTGGACCTCGTCATTGCACTCATGTGTATGGGGCTGTATCCCAACGTCTGTCTGCATCAGGGGAAGAGAAAGGTTTGGAAGTTTTTTAACCCGTATACCCGTCAAACAAAAGTAGTCTCTAAACATTGGAAATAAGGTCTACAATGTAGTTAGTTGAAAATGGTCACCGCTTGGGCATATATGGGGTTAAATTATTTTCTTATTATTATCTATACAGCTAAATAAAATGACTGCCTCGTTGGCCGAAGGTCGCAAGTGCGACTGCCGGACAAGGGGTCTCGGGTCCCGGGTTGGGCCCGGTATATCACCCCCTATTGAGACTCATAACATAAATAGTGAAATGTGGGTGTTACATTGTACAGAGGCATTAAGTGCCGTAACGTGCCCCTCTCCCTACCCCTTCGGAGATAAAAGCGTGATGTTATGTTATAAATAAAATTAGAATGTCTGTTTTTAATATTAAAATAACCGCTTTTTACTTCATGCTCACTCAAAAACTTATATATTTTAAACGCAATTCTAAACTCTATGCTATTTGTGCCAGGTGCTAACAACAGAAGGCAAACCAGCCTTAATCCACAAGACGTCAGTTAACTGCAGTAACCAGGAGCAAAGGTTCCCGTCCCCACTGTTTGTGTTCGGGGAGAAAGTCAGGACTCGCGCCATCTCCTGCAAACAAACTACTATGGTCGCGCCGCTGCATCTACTGCTGTTCGCTAGTCGGAAGGTCGAATGGGTATGTTGAAACGTTTTGTGTTTATTTCATTGTGAAAATACCTTAAAGATCGTGAAGTGGGCTAAGGGCTCCTGTATAAATCGAAAGTAATCGGATATCTCCGAAGAATAAGCCGAACAATAATTTTTATTATATGATTTTACGTATCTTCAAGTTAGTTTTTTGTCGTTTTCTCTCTGAATAATTAATAATAATATTAATATTTATAAACACAAATGGTTTTTTTTCAATGGAACTGCTTGTCTTCTTTTCGGAGAACCCTCTATGTGTTTTATATGGATCCTGTATGAGTAGATGAGACTGTTTTTAAACTTTATTATTTACCATTTTAGATCGACAATGTGGTTCGCCTGGACAATTGGTTGAACTTCGAGATGAACCCTCGTTCCGCAGCGCTGGTGACAGCTCTGCGCCCCGCTGTAGAGAAACTTGTTGAGAGAGCTGCTTCGGAACCTGATGCAGCTTTGCACTTCACACCGCTCGAACGAAAGGTAGGATTGGTGTAATAATAAAATCGTCAGTAGTTAGCTAATCATTTTACATAATATACCAATATAAAATACTACTCGATTTCAATTACAGTTTTGTATTACCTATATAAGTATCTGTTTTTTTTTTTGACTGCCTCGTTGGCCGAGTTGTCGCAAGTGCGACTGCCGGGCAAGGGGTCTCGTGTTCGATTCCCGGGTCGGGCAAAGTATTACAGGGATTTAAAAAAAATCTCAGTAGTAGCACGAAGTCTGGAATTGTGCCTGGTATATGGCAATAGACCCACTCCTATAGTGCCTGGCAGTCGCACTTACGACCACTCGGCCAACGAGACAGTCAAGGGAACGAGGAATATTTATTTTAGGAAGACGAGGGAATATTTATTCTCTAGCCACTTCATATACCAAAAGTTGCAGCACACCCAAGTGAAATCAACTGTAGGTTTTATTTACTCTGTAACTTGGAGTCTAGAAAAAATATGTATTAAATATGTTTTTCTTTTGTCCAGGTTGTCGATTGCATAAAGTCGCTTTGCGTCATTGAGTCAGGAGACTACAGGATCCAACGTGATATGGGTGTAATGGCATTCAGACCAGACCCTGTCGTCAAGAGAGGAGGCAACAGAGGCTGGGGGACTAGTGGACCTCGAGGTGGAGGAGGATTTGGCGGAGGATTCGGAGGAAACAGAGGATTCGGGGGAAATAGAGGAAACTTTGGAGGCAACAGAGGAGGCCGAGGAAATCGAGGATTTTATGGCGGCAACCAATTTGGATTTGATGGTAACCAAGGCGGATTCGGCGGTGGCAATTTTGGCGGTGGCAATTTCGGAGGAGGCAATTTCGGGGGCGGCAACTTTGGAGGTTTCCAAGGAAATCAGGGAGGTTTCGGTGGCAATGATAATGGGTTTGGTTACGGCGGCTTCGGCAACCGAGGCGGTTTCAATCGTGGAGGCTTCAGAGGCCGGGGCAGAGGCAACTGGTGATCATTCCATTCCTTGATGTAATTAGTCAATTTTGTGATTTACGATGATAAGTAATAAAAATATTTAATTTTACTCTCGTTTATTTTATTTGAAGTACACTTGAACAACATTTCGACTAGTACAGTGATTGTTATGTGAATGTACCTACATTGAAAGTAAATGCATTTGATTAATAGCCTACTTAAAATTCCGCAGCTTCTCAATATTGACGCTCCCGTAATGAAGGGGCGGTATACCATGTTATTTAGACCTTTCATATACAATTTAGGACAAAGTTAATGCATAAATAATTTATTTGCCATAAAACAATAGCCTTCATAAACTAGATATAGCGGCAAAAGAAACTAGATACAGAGCGTCACTTAGTATAGTACGATCTGTACATAGTTCTTTACAGTCTATCATATTCAAGCACTTGTAGCCCCAAATATATAATTGCTACATTCTAATAATGTGCCAGTAAATGGTAAGTAATGTATTGACGTATTACGTAACGCAAATTTAATAATTTAAAGATACACCACATAATTGATAATGGAAGTAAATTTACTTGGAAACAAAATTCATTAACGGTACACACAATACAATGGTCCGCCCCTAACCGTGCTAAACTAATAGCATTAGTACAGCAATACTAACGACAAAATAATTTGTTCATCAAGCAATCTACGTCTTTAGTAATGTAAAGCGAACAAACTCGCGGTTTTTAACTAAATTAAGCATAAAACTGGCCCACGAGCCAAGATCTTCTGTCATTCCACAGGATTTTGAACCACTATAAGTATAAAGTCTTTATCGGGAGCTACCATCACTTCACTTTTCTTACTGCGTATCCTCAAGAATGTCAGGTCATTTGTGGGATCCAGATCTCGTACTACCGCCTTCGCTTTGTCCACCAGCGAACTCATCAGCCCCGCGTACTGAACAGAAACATGATTTTCCAAAGTTGTCTTGATCGGTATACCTTCACCGTTTACCACAATCACTCCTGCCACACCCTTGTGCATAGCAAGCTTGCGAACCGTTTCTTCGGCCTCATTTGCCATTTTTCACTTAGTATAGACTCTACAATGTAAATTCCACAAATTGTTGTCCGAAATCGAGACGTTAAATCCTTCAAATAATTACAAGCGATGTCAACTTTTTGGTGGCAAAAACTTGAAAGTTTGAATTCCGAACGAACGGCCAGAATATTCAAATAGCCCGCGAAAAAGAGGTTCGTACCAAAAACTTTTATTGCACAACACTCGTTTTATTTTATGGAGTAATATTTATAGCTCAATAAGTAGCAGCGAATGGTTTACTGGCATGTCACCGCCCGTGATTGATCTGTTTATACGTTGCCGTGTCGACCGGGAGGGGGCTGATACCGAGCTTTACTACACCCTCGCCCCCATGGGGAGACATAAATTCACACAAAACATTAACCACGGCCATGCGATGTAAACTTTGAGAATGTAGGAAATATGTTGATTCGAAATTTGCATAAACGTATGATCGCCATTGATAGCATCGCGCCTGATTTTAAATTATGTTCATAAACTGTTAGTACTGGGAAAGCCGGTCTCGTAAAAGCCAGTTATAGTTTTAGTGCTAAGCAGTCGCGTTTTCAATAGTTGCTATGCCTAGATTAACGATTCGGAATAGTCATAATGTATAGAATAGAGAACAAATACTAGACAAACTGATAATATCAGGAATTTTAGTCAGTAGGCAGGTACTAAACTTACCTCTTAAACTTGTAAGTTATAAGCATGAAATGATTATTAGACTAGTACCGTCATGGTTCAAAGTTTATTGGTCCGTGGTACCACTAATCTGATTTCTGAAGAGATTAAAATGTTTAGTACATAGGTAAGTACAATATAGGTACCAAAATAGGTTTGACAGTTGCCCTTTCAACCAGAGGGAGAGTGTGGTGTAATTTAGTTTTATGTGGTAAAAAGTAATGAAATAAAATTGTATTAAATAATTTTTATTATTTAATAATTGTAATTTAAAAACGTACAATATTAATATTTCTATTTTGTGTTTGCTGATTCAGATCTGCAAGAATCACCAAATTGTTACTGCAAAAAAAACATATTTCTGCATAAACATATCACATACATCTTGTCTTTTTTTATGAGATGTCTTTCATTACTGCAACATAGAGATTAGTTACTTCGCAGTTTATAAGCCCAAGCCAGGTAAGAAAATGCTTTATTGCACAAAATATATGGTGTCGCCCATATTATATTCCAACTCTCAACTCTCCGTGGAAATATGTTGTCCTTGTTGTTTCATAGTTTCAACCTTCAAATACAAAGGCATCCTCCCACTTCTAAGTTTAGCTCGTTTATGTACCTTAAGTTGATGTTTCATCATTTGTTTTCTATAACCAAATGCCTTCCCACAGATATTACAAACATGTTCCTTAATTCCACTATGGTCCACTTTATAATGTAATTCTAGTTCCCGTTTTGTGTAGAATCCTCGGTTGCAAGACTCACACTTAAAATCATGTTGCCCTTTATGGGTCTTAATATGTTTGTTCAAATTACTTTTGTTTATAAACCTTGAAGGGCATTGTGAACATTGGTACGGTTTCTCACCAGTGTGAGTGCGCATATGCATCTTGAGAGATTCTCGGAATCTACCTTTGTACGGACAGAGTGAACAATTGAAGGGTAATTTATAGAAATGTGTCAACCTGTGTCGTGTAAATGGTCCCTGCATTGAAAAGTTCTTGCCACAAATATCGCACATGAATGGAGTCTCCTGTTTGTGTATGGCTAAATGCTTTTTTAAGTATAATGCTGTATATGATCTATTGCAGACAGGACACACAAGCCTCATGTTCTCGTGCTCCTCAGTCAGTTTGTGGTCATTAAACTCCTTGAATGAATCAAATGATATTTCACATTTCTTACAATGATATGATCTCTGTTTCTTAGGTTTACGGTCTTCATAATCCGACAAATTATCGTCATCGTTTGCATAATCGTAAGAGTCGTCAATACCACTAGCATGTGAATCTTCAACTGGATTTTTTAGGAGGTGATCTGATTGTTGAGCAGTTTTCCTAAATAATATCGCTCCTTGTAGAAGCTCATTGCAAGGTTGACATAAGTATTTAGGATACGGATCGTCCACTGTTACTTCTAGACTGGCAAATATGTTTAGAGAATCCGAAACGTCTTCTAAAGTTTCGTTACCAAAAATAGGTATACAACCTTCTTTTAAACAAACCCTGCAAGTGCTATCATCATTTTGTTCCATCTTAATATTGCTTTCTGTTGAGTTTTCGTTATTAGAGTTACCTTCGTCTCCCATTTCATCACCAGAGTTCATATTTCTGCCATTCATTCGTCTGCAGTGTAACATTTTCAGAAGTAACATGGGCCCAACCATCTCTTATCGTGAAAAAAGACCAACAGTAAGTCAAGATATTATTCTTCAGTGCAGGTGATGAGTTTGGTATTATTTTTTATAGTAATAAACAATAATAACGCAATGTTTACATGAAAAAAGAAGGAATTTGTGGAATGATATGTCACTTTTAATTTGTCAAAAATGTATTATTTTATTATTTGTTTATACACAGTTCAGGAACTAATATTGATGAGATCACTCTGATACTGAATGAGCATATTTTAACAATCACAATAAACGTTTTGATTGTTGGGTTACGAAACATTCCTAAATAATAAGTAGAACTGATAATACAAGACAATTTAGCAATTGGGTGTAACCTATGTTGATAAATACTACAGTGATAAATAGGACTAAGCCCTTACTTTCCGAACTTTAAATATAATGTCACTTTGGCAGCTCTAGAAGTGTCAAAAAATGTCAATGTTCGTTTAGTGTAAACATGAGGTTACGTTAATTAATTGCTAAAATCTATAATTTAAAGCTTCTTTTAACATAATCAGTTTTTAAAATATACCTATAAAAAAGTCTAGAGGTGTTTTTGTTATATCCAGACATGAATGCGATCAGGGTGAGTATATATCTCTGTCAAAAATAAAGTGATAATTCTTTCCAAGTAAAATTGATTTGTATTATCTATTTCTGTACATTTTTCAGAGTTTATGGCGTTCAGCGCCTTTAGTTCGTGGTGTGATATCGCCGAATTATGCTATCCGACCTCTTTCAACAGTCACAGAGGTTCCTATTCAAAAACCTATTGATGCGGTACCATCGACTGCGGCAGTGGAACTCGACAAGTTATATAAACGAGTCGAATTGGAAATGCGCGGGATTGACCCTGCTGTGCTGCTGAGTTACTCTTGGTTCTGTGTGGCAGCAGCTTCGCATTTGGGCATTGAAGTTACTAAGAAGTATGTTTTAGTTCTAGGTTACAGATTTTCCATTTATTTTCGCACAAAAAAATCATTTTCTGTTAATCCTTAACGCACGTGTTGTGTGTACCAGTGTATGTGAAATCTTTTAATTCACGTTTGATGTATTTACCTAATTTTACACCTAGTAATTATTACCATAGTAAAAATAACCTAGATTTTCCATTACAGTTGGGCGCTAAGAAAAGCAGAGAAAGAAAGACACACTCTCCTCCGTTGTGTCCACATCTACAAGAAACACAGAGTGCAATATGAAATAAGAACATACTTCCGGTTTATACATCTGCAACGACTCACGGGATCCACCTGCGACACCTTCCTTGAATATATCGAGAGGAACCTGCCAGAAGGTTGCGCATTAAAAGTTACGAAGATCGAATGCCAAAAACTACCTGAACACATAACTCCACCAACTAACGAATAAGATATATTTATAAATGTAGATTTAGAATAAAACATCTCTATAGTATGCATTTTTTTATTTTTAATTATATAGTCGGAACTACAAAATTGAGCTTTCGTTCAAGATAATTTTACATAGAGTACAGAAAAATAATCAAATAAGTTCAAAATGGGGTACACTAACGTAGTCACTACAATAAAGTCTAGTCTAAAAATGCTAGTAGACCTTTTATTAGGGCCGCACTACATAATTATTTATTTCAAGTAGGCACAATTAATTGTATAATCATCTAAAAAGCACGGCTCCGGCGCGGCGTTGTTTCGAATTTGCCTACCACTAACCTCGAGTGGACCAAGCGCTGACCCCCCACCTTCAGCTTTATGTTTGATGTTATGAAAAATACCATATGACACTATTAAAACTACATATTTAAATGACAACTTAGTTGCTGGGTTGGAGGCATGCTTATTAGATGTGCAATTATTTAAGTATACGAGTCTATTAGGTTTTCTAATTTACCTTTTAAAACATATCTTTAACAAGTCAAAAGAAATGATGTATAATTATAAAGTCTCGAAATACATGATGGCAAGGCTTATTAACGATTATCGGCAAGTAAAGGGGGCCTCAGGGCACAGTTACTGAATTATGTCATGAATTATAGACAGTGTTTGCAATTAAAATTAATCAAAAATAATTAGAGCACAAAAAAAAGTATTAGAATGTAGGTCGACAGCGACAGTGTAAATACTGTTAACGTAAACACAGTGTAAAGACATATGTTATTATCGGAACTAGTAAATTTAACTATTAATTTTGTACTAGTTTTTCATAAGTATCTGTTAAAGTAAATGGCGAGTTGCACAATATAAAAATGGAGTTGTTTTCTATAGGCTATACCTATAATACTTTTAATAATTACTACTAAAACAATTAGACAAAAAGTTCTTAACACTTATTCCTAAAAGATGTCCTATTTATTATTTTTTATGGCTTTTTACAAAAGCCTTAGTTCAATAAAATTAGGAAGCTTTTTCAAAAGGGAGGCACAAACACACTTAGTAAATATTTTGGTATAATAAACTTAAAACTATTTTTTAAGCCATAGACTAGTACATTTTTAAATTCAGTCATCACATTTTGGCATCAAAATCTTTTTGGCATGGTCGTAAATAAATTCTATTCATATTGTTGATGTTTGCATACTGTAACAATGAACAAGATGGCAAAGGCGAGCTCTAGAGCATGGAACATCAACATTACAGCACACCAAATATACTCCAAGCGTAGAATGTATGTTTGGTAGATCAGGAAGTAGCATACACCCACAGCAGAAGGTATTGTCAACACTACTGAGAAAAATACTGGCACTTCTGAAAAGGAAAAAAGTTTTATTAAAATAGAATCTAACTATATAATGATGGTCACTAAGGAATTCATATATTTAAAAGATAATAAAATACAATTTGAATGAAACAGATGTTTGCTGGGTGTACCATACAGTGTACCATACCGATAGATGTATTTTTTATTATTTTTCTTACATATATGTACTTACTCTTACTGGCTAAATTTCCTCTTCGTCCCAAGAATATGCGTATAACTTCAACGAGACACAAAGCACTAAATATACCGGCTTCTGTTATCAAAGCATTTTCCGGATAAGAAACATTGATAGCTTTTAATATTCCCATTGCCACTTCACACACGAAAAACATCCCCAGATAAAAACTGTTTAGATATAATAATATCTCATACGCTAAACTAGAATTCACATTGGTCACTTTAGACATTTTCCTGAATGAATCAATGATGAATTTCGTTTTGTTTACTGTTGTTTACGTAGGTATCACTTTTTTGTTTATTCGATCGACCGCCTCGACAACGGGGTACCGGACATGCAAGTGACGTAAGCTAATTGTCAAATTCAACGTCCAATGAAAAATGCGCGCGCCTGTATTGATTTCCGCGTTTCGTCATATCCAAAAAATATAACTTTACAATTTTTTATTTGTTTTTTAAGTACAACATTATGTTTAACCAAGTTCACATTTTCTTCTCATGTATTGTAGTAGATAGGCAATTATAATGTAAAGATGTCTTATACAACGCAATTTAACGACAAAAACAATGTAGGAAACTATTTTGTGGATTTCTAAATTAGAGGTATAGTTAATTTAGTTCAGTACAAACAATAAAATAAACACAATTACAAATACATTTCCTTCATTATTTCCAATAGAGTTCCATTCATTAGAGATAATTATTTCACCGCTTCGTTTACGCACTTCATTGCGTGCGTACACGGTCGAGTGCGTTCGTCCGTTACGCTGTTATGTAACAAACAACAAATGCAGTAATGCACTATCAAACAGGTGAGTGTTTATACTAAAACGGAAAGTTACCGTGTAGGAAGAGTAGTGCGGAAATTAAGCAGCACTGCAACTTGCGGCTGAGCAATTTCTACTTGTAATACATACCTACTTACTGCATTTGTGGTAGAATTCCTGATGTCATCTTTACAATGATACATATGATTATGATTAAGATTTCAACATATTATGACTAATATTATATATAAATCTTAATCATAACAATACCTAGGTCTATGGTGGATCTCTATCTAGAAATATACGTAATATTTAAGTATCTAAAACTCGTAATAAATCTTTATAAGTTTTGATATATAGGTATGTATCCAAGGCTAGTCTCACGTTAGGGACAGGCCTTGGCCTGGAATTTGGCCCATAGCCCACAATCATATATGTAGATATAAAATAAATAAAATAAAATAAGCCTTTATTGCTGTAACTTGCAGTATACAATATGAATAATAATATAGTCTAGATACTCGTATTACATGTTTCAAGTTTTGGATGTTATTTGTTTAATTCCAATTTGTTTATTGTTGAATCCTTGTATCGGGAACCGGTTTTTCTTTTACAGCTTGTCCTTCGACAAAGGCCTCCTCTAAGGATTTCCATTAAATTCTGTCCTTTGCAGTACGTGTCCATCCTGAACCAGCTATCTTTTTTATGTCATCCTCCCATCGTTTGCTTTGTCTACCTTTGCTTCTTTTACATCTCGCGGGTACCATTCTGTTACTATTCTCGTCCACTTTTCTTTTTCTTCCCTTAACATATGTAGATATACACTGTTTTTAATGTTACAGAGAATGCTAATATTAACGACGAATGGATAACTATAGACTAATAGAACCGTTTAACAATCTGGCAATATCTCAAACGCTAGAGGCTTACGAAAAAAACATTTTTTTTTGTACAAGGGGATTATAACCCTTATGAATGAAGCACCCCTTTTAGTGACCATGAGAGATGTAGGACTTAAGAAATTAGTAATCTGAAATCAACGGACCCATTTCAAAAAAAATCTCGATGTCTTGCATAATAAAACTTGGGAAAAAAGCGCATGTAAAAGTTACGTATTTTAGCCATTTTGGTACTACCGGTAGCGTCCCTTATCTAAATGGGCTCGTATTTACATGTACATACCTACATCTTAGATTTTCTTATATAATAATGAAATGCAAGTATTACTCCTAGCTAACAAGTCAGGTGGTAAGTTCCAATGAAAATAAAAGCTAATAAAGCTCAACCGGATTGGTTAGTTCTGCAAAGTGTTGCTAGGGTGACTATGCTAGGAAGAAATTGTTTAAAAACCCTTCGCTGTGAACGCAATGGGTAGGATAATAGGATGATATATATTAGTGGTGGTTAGAATATACAGGGACACATTCTACAAAAGCTTTTATACGATAAAAAAATAACGCAACTATGAAGCTCCTCGGCCGACCTTACATAATAGGCACTCTATGATGGAATATCTTCTAAATTGGTACATGTATGCTTTTAAAGGGGTAAAATCTTCGAATGACTGCTCCCGCCTGGGTGAGGCAGGGACCGAGGGAGGGAGTGTTAGACTCTTACTGACAAAAAACCACCCCGTTCCTACTCCTGCGCTTCGAGCCGGAGGCCCCCCGGTAACCCGTTATGTATACTAGATGTCTTTTTAACAGAATTCCTGGAATTTACGAAGTGCAGGTTAATTAACTGTTAAATAGCAGGTATCAATGACAACTGGAGTATACCAATACTTTTAATTGAACGTTCTCAAGGAAACCAACCGTGATGCTTTCGATTCTTGCTGTTTACTGGCTCCACCTAATGATACGATTTCGCAATATTCCTATTGTGCATGCGTCGTTACTGGCTACCCTATCGATAGAAAGTAGACGGCTTTCTGCAGCGGGCGAGGGAAACGCGATGCAGTGATGCACCACGCAATCACAAGACTTCCGTTCAGGGCACGCATTAGACGTCTCACGTAAAGTCCTGTACAAAAATTTTTTTGTGAAAAATAAAGATTCTTCAGATTTTCTTTTAAAATGAAAACGAAACCAATGTTGACTTTTTCGAAGTTGGATCCCGAGACAGGTGATCTGTTGGATAGGATGTTCGAGAAGAAGGATTGTATGGTGGAGATCAACCCTGGGAGGGTGATCCTGCCTGCTGACTATATGACCATCGGTCAGGATATCTTGGACATGGAGGTGCGGGACTCCGATGTCTGGATGTGTTCTTATCCTCGAACTGGTAAGTGCTTTTTCTTTATCTGAATTAGGACTTAAGTAGATAAAATTCCCCTTATACATTTATCAACCTAGCTTATCTAGACGTTTATGGTTTATATATTTTACGCAACCTCAATTTCGAAGTTACCTAGTGTAATTCCGATTTCGATTACTTAACGCTAACAAACTTTACATCACTAAATAATATAGGTACTGAGTAACATAACATAACATCACGCCTTTTATCCCCGAGGGGTTTTTTTTAAGGGGGGACAATCATCGAATGACTGCTCCCGCCTGGGTGAGGCGGGAGGGAGTGTCAGACTCTTACTGACTAAAAACCACCCCGTTCCTTCTCCTGCACGTCGAGCCGGAGCCCCGGTAACCCGTTAGGTTCACCGCGACATCCCCGAAGGGGTAGGCATTGGTGCCGTGCACATTACAACACCATGTACAGTGTAACACCCACTTTCACTATTTATGTTATGAGTCCCATGTAATAGGGGGTGAGTAATCTTTGCAAATGTGATTATTTATTTACTACGCTATAACACTTTGAAACAGTGTTGTAATTTACAGCTGTGGAACAGGTACAGTACAGAAATAATTCCAAAATTAGAATTCTGCATAAGTAGACTGCCTCTAAATTGATTCCATGTTTAGGTTCAACATGGGCTCAGGAGATGGTGTGGCTTATCGGACACGATTTAGATTACGAAGGAGCTAAGTCGTTGCAACAAGTAAGTACAGTCCCTTGCTCCATTAACAGGAGAGATATTAAAAAAAGATTCATAATATGTTTCACGTTGACTTTTTTGATTTGAACACATTCCTCGTATGGTAAAATCACAAATATCTCGAAACTAGAGGTCTTAGCTAAAAAATGACTGAATTTTCGAACCCCCCTGAAGATTTTAAACTAGCCTTTAGCTAGCCCTAGGGTCAGTTCCAACTGACCTTGGGTGCGGTGGGCCCTTTTATAAAACTTCTGAACATCGAAAATGTCACAATACAGATGGTGTGGTGTGCTAACCTAACAGAGGTCCAAATTACTGTTTGTCAGGTACAAATTAAAAAAAAACATCTCAAAAACTAAAAGTCCTAGCTAAAACATAACTTAATTTTCGAAACCCCTATACGCATTAAACCTGCTTAATCTTCAAAATCATCAAAAAATTAAAATACCCGTAACCCCCTACTTCTAGATAAGATGCCCATTAGTGGAGTTGTCCTGCATCATGGTGGCTGGTCACTCCACCTGGCATAAGGAATCAGTGCAAGGTACATCGGTGGACCTGGTGAAGCATCGTCTGCCATTCCCTCGCTACATCCGCAGCCATCTGCCCTGGGATCTGTTGCCTGTTGATATCGAAAACGAAGATGGATCTGCTAAGCCGAAGGTAAATTCTAGGTACTATTGAGTAGGTATGTAGGTACTAGTATTGCCTGCTGCGACTGTGGTTGAAAAGAGTATTTTTGCGTTAAGCGATATGACAGCTAGCTAAGAATTAAAGGCAGTGATCAGTCATTTGTTGTTCTGTATATATCTTCTATCTTCTTACTGAAGGACCGGTTATAATGCGGCTACTTATATAAATTAACAAGATTCTCGTTAGCTACAAATAAAATATAATCTTATGTAATTGCCTTTAGTGTAGGTCTAAAACTTCCCTAATCGTCCCCAGGTTATATACACGTCTCGGAATCCAAAGGATATGGTGGTATCCTACTACCACTACTGCACTCTGGTGCATGGCCTCAAGGGAACTTTTGAAGAGTTCTGTGATCTCTTCATGAGAGACCGTGCGCCATTCGGACCGGTTTGGAATCATATACTTGGTAAGACCCGGCTAATTTAAGTGTCTCTTGGCAAAATGTCTATGTTATATTTCCTTGTTATCTTATTTCTTTTCTTTTATTACCCAGGTTTCTGGAGTCGACGTCACGACCCGAATGTTCTCTTCATCAAATTTGAAGAGATGAAGCACGACCTGCCGTCCGTGGTTAGACGAACTGCTCACTTCCTGAACAAGGAACTGACCGACACCCAGGTGGACAAGCTTTGTGACCATCTGTCCTTCCAAAATATGAAGACGAACAGAGCTGTCAACTTGGAAGCCATTTTGGAAAAGTCTTTCGGCGTCAGCTATTTGGAGTCCACAGATTTAAGGTTTATTAGGAAAGGGGAAATTGGAGATTGGAAGAACTACATGTCGGACGATTTGTCGCGAAGATTCGACGAGTGGGCTGAACAACACTTGAAGGGAACCGAGTTGAGTTTCGAGTAAATCAAGTATGGTTTTAAATGGGTTCTTTTAATTATTGTTATAGCTGTTTATTTAATGTACTAAATGAGATTATTTTTGTATAAAGT